TAAATGCTGAAAGATCAGAGAGACAAAGGAATGAGTCACAACTACTTCTTACCTTGCAAACTCCACAAATCCTCTGATTGAATGTCTCTGAGTCCTCTGCTGAATTAGCAGAGTATGCAGAAAATTAAGGAAAAAAGAAGAAAAGAAGAATTGAGATAAAAGGAAGAAGCTAAATTATTTATATTTTCTTAAACAGACTAGATATTCTGAGGATATAGTTTTTTAGAGGACAAAACTCTAACAATTTATTGAACTGAAAATATTTTGAGTTTCTTTTTTACATGAATAGCTAAAATATATAGGTGTTATACCTCAAACATTTACTTGTATTTAGTTATTAATTGTGGTTCTGAGGTGTGAGAGTTTGAGGTACATAGACATTGAAAACAAAAGTCTTTGTTCATAAAGTTTAAACTTAAAATGCTAGAGAAATGTCACACAACTGCTTACCTCATCAGTTTAATAAAAATGTGAGCACCTGTACAACTGTTTGTTTCACACTAATGACATTTCCATTGTTTTGTATGTCAGGACATAATATTTATTTAGGGTAAGCATTTGTTATCATAAAAATTTATGTCAATTGCCTTAACATTTTCAAACCTTTGGCTAAGTGCATGATAGATTTGAATAGAAAGCTTATTTTTTATTTTTATTTTAAAACTATAATCCCTAGATGAGGAATTTAATCTTAGCTAAATGTTTAATATGTGACATTACTAATTTTGTTTCTATTTTCAATCCACATTATATCTGTGTATTTCCCCCATAAATTATCCAAATGTTAGTTAAAATACATGCTATAATATATACATCTGCTTCACTAGGAATACATAAATTTTAAGACATGGTGGAGTATTCATTGGAAACAATCGAAAGCTAGTATCCCTAGGACAGCCCCTCAGAATCACAAGATGTGTCTGTCCAGCTGCTTTAAGTTACTTAAAGACCTGATGTAACATGTAGCTGTCTGGAATATCAATATAACTCTGTACATTAAATTATGAATTTACTTTTCATTTTTGGAGGTGGTAAAAATGCAAAGGGCTTGCCATTGTGGCTTTGTACACTCCTAAATACCTTGCTTTGCGCACCATTACTTCATAGAGGTATGCTTTTATATGGCTGCCTGATGGGTCCTGTCCCTGCTGGAACCTGTGTAAGGTTTTCTTGATCTGTCTTTAACAATCGTTCTTCTTTTTGTGACATGAAGAATCACATAGGTGAGTGGTTCAGGGAACGCTAGACTAAGACTCGTTCCACTTATAGTGAAGGTCCTTATTTTCATTTTCATAGTCTAGGAACTCAGACTCTCTTTGCTTCACCAGACATGACTGATGAGGCTGTTTTCGTCATCTTTCCTTGTCTTGCTATCATCATTAATGGTATATTTTGGCCTTAGAGGGAATGTTGTGTTTTGGTTTGGTTTGTGAGTGGGTGAAAGATGGACATTACATTAAACTTTAAACAACCATATCAGTTATGGATAATTTTATAAGTAATGAAAGGAACAAGGTCAAAAGGAACATTATGCCCACCTTTCACTGTACAAAATCAGCTAACAAATGCTACCTTTAAAGATTTGGACCATTTAGCACCCAACAGTAGTATTTATATTTTTGGGTATATATGATTGCAATTTTAATTGCAAATGTGTATGAAATATTATTCTTACTTGTATTCATCAGCCATTTATAGATGTTACTACAATTTCTACATTTCCATTATAAAGTTGGCATGCCTTCATTGTACAAAATTTAGCAAAAATAAGAATGTTGATAAATACCCTCAAAATTCAGTATATTTCATATTTTGGTATGTTTTCTTTCCTATAATTTTCTTCCTAGTAGGTGCTAAGTTTTATTTTGCCATGTTTCTTTTTAAGCATTTATATTAGTGTGTATCTTGAATTTAGAGATCTATTAACTACATGAACGATGGGTGAGGACCTATCTAAAAATTTGCTAGCCATTGTCATTGTGGATTTTCATACTGTTCAAATTTTGACTCCTGTTAGCCATCTATGAAATTATTGGATGTTTTACTAGCCCCTTGTAAGTATTTAATCAATAAACACTCACTTTAGATCCCATGAACAATGTCACACACTTCAACTTCCTTTATGTCACATATAGTCAACTTGGTGAGGTAGATACTACCTACATTGATACAATTCTATCAATAAATGTGGAATTATGATCATGAATTACAAGACAAATTATCAGCATCTCTTTTAAGCACTGTTTGATACATAGATGTGGCTTGAACTGTTTCTGCATATTTCAATGTATTTTAAATGTTCAAAAGTGAGTAATTTCTATTTAAAAATATTTCCAATTAAAAATTTTATTAAGAAGTTTTTAAAATTTCTATTTACAAATGTCTAAAAAATAATGATAAAAAACTCAAGAGATGTCTTTACTGGTGCTGTACTTGCTGAAAAAGCCTGAGAAATCTCGTGCTGTTGAGGTATAGGGGAAGAAAGGGTGTGCAGTAGAGAAGCACCCTTAGGAGGCAGGCAGCTCAGTGGGTGGACTATGGGAACAAAGCTGATGGGGTCGACTGATGCTGTTCACATTACAGTCAAGTCACGGTTAGAAATTCTTTTTGACTGGAGTGGAAAATGGTCCAATTACAGCAAACCTGATGAGGGATTACAACTCTGGTGAGGAATTCAGGGCGGGGCAGAAACTAGGAACTTGGGAACTTGTCCAACTACAGAGTGGGATGAGTATAAACTTCCAAGGACATTGATACTCTCACAACTCTATTCTGGCTTTGCCTTTCACATTCACCTGTGAATATGTAGGATTGAGACACAGCTGGTGATGATCATAAAAATGGTATTACTTTTGTTTTCTTTCTTGGTTTTTTTTATTATTATTATTAAGCAGTTTGACCTACACTAGGATTTGTAAGGCAATTTAATTTAATTGTTCCATTTGTAGAGGGCACATTGCCTAGCTGTTAATGAGCAGACTGAGTGTTCATACTCAACCTCCAGCCTTGTAAATTCTGTGTCTTTTGTAAAATTACTCAATTGTTCTCTTTCTTAATTTCCTCATTTTTGAATTGCTTTCCTTCACTCACAGTGAAGATTCAGTGAATGAATCAGAGTTTTCTTAGAACAATGCCTGACACCTGAGAACACATGTAATTATCAGTTTTTAAAAATAAAAATACCAAGAATTATGAAACCGGGTAAATTTAAATTAGATTGCCTTTTATTATTATAAGAACACTAGACAATATATGATTAGAATATATTATATGAAAAAATATATTAAAAAACTAATACTCAAGCAATGTTTGTCTTAATTTTCAACATGACTAGATTGACTTATTTAGAAATGTGGTATGGAGGCATGTTTCTGATTGTATCTGTGAGTGGATTTCCAGAAAAAAATTAACTGTAATGGAAGACATACTTTGGATATAGGCAATATCATCCCATGGGTTGGAGTTCTGACAGAATAAAATGATGAAAAAGATGAGACAGAGAGAGAGAGAGACAGAGAGAGAGAGACGGAGAGACAGAGAGATAGAGAGACAGAGAGAGAATTATGTAATTTAGAAATTATTTGCTATGGAAGAGGGTACATACATAATATTGCCTTAATAATTACTTAGATATCTCTTTTTAAAATCTTACCCTTTTAAACACACCTGTCTCCTGACATGCTTGTCATACTGATGTTATGATACTTCAAAGTTGGCTCACTTTCCAGAATGTTATTTATGTCCAATTCATTTTCTCATCTATGAAGCCAAAGTGCTCAGTGCAGCTGTATTCATAGAAACAGTCATCGGGATTTGTTTTTTCATTTCTTAAAAGCTAATCCAAAAAAAAAAAAAAAAGCTAATCAAAAGCTCAGAGTTTCTGTTTGTGGACAAATCTGCCTGTTTGGCCTGTGTGCTATTCTGTTTGTCTGTTGGCTAGTCTGTAGTTATTAAAGACTATCTGTTGGATTGTTCAGTAGCATCCTATAATTTGGACAGCACAATCAAATTTGCATATCCCATTCAGCTGTTGTAGAGAAAAGCCTGTTGCCATGGTGAGAATTATGATGTCCTATATCAGATAAATTCCCAAAATGAAGATGGCCTTTGCAAAGCCACATGCAAATATTTATTACTTTAGATACAGCTAGCTTCTGGGGAAGCACTGAATTATCTTTTCTCAGTCATTAAATGAGAAATCCACAATACGTGGTTTCCCATTTTTGTTACAGTAAATTCCCACCTCCCTCTGCTTCCATGCCTGAAGTACAAGGATCAGATGCCATTGGCTGTCCTTTCCAGTTGTGTAAGTGAAAAGCTTGCTTATTTCATTTGTATCTTAAGCAAGCTGTTGTCTTATGTAGATCAGTGTTTTGTTTGGTTTGGTGCTGAGTGCTGCATAGGCAAAGCACTCACCACAGCTCTGAGTCCAGTCTACCCATCCTGTATCTTTTGATCCCAAACTTCACTCTGAGTTCAGAAGTGAAATGTTGGACTCTCTTGTGTATCATATGAGATTAGGGATACAAACTGGGGATTTTACTAAAGATGTATAATCACATTTTAAGAAAATTTTTAAAATACAGTTTTCTCACATTTAAGGGCTGTCAATTTAAGAAAAATGAAAGCCCTATTTAAAATCTTTAATGAAGTTTCTGAGTCAAAACTCTTGAACTGTCACCCTGAATGACAGAATTAATTATAATTATAAGCTAGAGTCATAATTAAACTAGTGATTTAATTAGTTTGATAGTCTAATAAATAATGTAAACACACATACTAGTTTCATAAAATAGCCTATTTTCTGAAGCTTGTTATGATACCTCCTTTAACTGTGGTCTGAATACCATGACACAGGTAAGTCTGAGAGATATAAATGTACTAACTCTACAAAAGGTCTTCTTCTGAAAAAGAAACATATTTTTTTTTTAAAAAAAAGGGGAGGGACATCTCTCCCGTTCAGCATTGTGAAGCTGATGACCCCTGTGTTTGCCTTTCAGATCCCCAGCTCAAGGGCATAGTGACCAGGTTATATTGCAGGCAAGGCTACTACTTGCAGATGCACCCCGATGGAGCTCTCGATGGAACCAAGGATGACAGCACCAATTCCAGTAAGTGATTGACTGAGTTCGCTACTCAAATGGCCTTGTGAAATACATTTGTATATGATTGGTTCTGCTGGTTTGTTTCTAGTTGCCTACTAAAATGCATTTCACTGAGACCGCATGCATGAAGGTACTAATGCAGAAGGAGGTACCTATGGTATTAAACTGAGTGTGTTTTCTTTTGCTCATACAATGGTTATGTCCAGATCATTACTTTTCATCTCCTGATCATAAGAGTTAGGCACACTAATTCACTGGTATAAAAGTTAATGTCCTTCTCATAGAGAGGATATTCAGGCTATGTACATATAAATATGCTGTACAAAACATTTAATTACCTTATTCAATAGAGTCTGTGATTATTAATTTAAAATCTGTGTATCTTTTGTGATATTGATATTTCTCTTCCATTTGCCATTTTTTATATTGAACTTGTTTACATTTTTCATGGGGTTTGTCTGAAACCCTCCCTTTTTGTTTTTTGACTGTTTTCTCTTTCTTTTATACTCTGACCTCTGATTTTCTCTAATTTCACATGAATTCTAACACACACACACACACACACACACACACTTCATTTACTGCTGGGCTTAGTAAAATGCAAAAACTGTACAGGTCATATAACTCCTAGGTTATGAGCAAGGATGATTGCCTGTCCAGTTACCATTTCTGTCCATAAAATATTATATTCCATTAAAAGGAAAAGATTTGATACATATGATAGAATCATCAGCTCTTCTTATTTTAGATTGGCTCATCAAGTTCTCATGAACAGACTCTTAGAACAATTAATGATGTGGAATAAGTTGTTTAACAATGATGCTTCTATATGAAATATTAGTATTTTTCTGTGTTTTTATCTGAAGTGAACTGAAGTGTATAAATAGTGGTTTATATTACTAGTTTGGAGGTAGTCTCTTCAATTCTTTCAAGTTATGTGTATATATATGTATATGTATATGTATATGTATATGTATATGTATATGTATATGTATATGTGTGTATTTTCCCTTGTTAATCTTCCTTTTCTTGAAATAGTGAATCTTTTCTCTCTATTTTATCTTCCATTTTTACCTTGAAAATGTGCCCTAGAGTATTGCTCCTTAATTTACTTACATCTTTCTTATTGTTTGGGAAAAGAGAGAGAAAAATAATCCATCATGACAAAAATTTTCAAGGAAATATAAAGAAAAGCTGCAACAGAAGGAAAAAGTTGCCTCTTTGGACTGCTTTCTCCTTTCTTTGGCAAGGTGTGAGGGTGTGAGGTATACAGCATGTACATGTGTAGTTATATCTGGTTGTCTGAAATATGTAAAAGTTGTCACATCACCTCAGAGGGTTTAGGATGGCAGTTCTTATGTGAACCACAGTCTAGACTCATTTGAGGAGCTCTTTAGAAATTTTCCTTATGTTCTTAACCCAGTTCTAGGGATTCTGACTTGGTTGGTCTGGGGCTGAGTATGGTCATCTTATTTCATAAACACATCTATTTTCACATAAAACAAGGGTTGAAATGCCCTGCTACCTGTAGACCAAAGTATTCCACAACAGAAACACAACCACATTGACATCTTTATTTTTTTATTCCCCTAGGCTTTGCTTCATTGCTTTGTAATTACATAAAATTCAAGAAGAGTGGAAAATAATTTATCTGTTCTTTTAACTAGAACCACGCATCATCTATGGTCAGCTCCACATTGTTAATTTGTAAATGATAATTGCTTGCATTTTTCCTACCAAAATCCCAAGGAAAGAAAGACAGTATAATTTTATTATGGTTATTTAGGCTCTATTTTAGAACTTGTTTTTACTTCCCATATTATATTATTTATAATATTCATATTACTCTCGCCTTTGGGAATTATACTATCTAGTTGACATGATATATTCAGAAGCTACAATACTTTTTAAAAAAACAGAATACAGAAACTAAAATAAATAGATTTGAAGTCATTGGGTTAGATAGTTACATAGACATAAACTTATATCTTACCTTAAAATTATGCACAGAAGTTCAGGCTTATCCTACAGTTCCCATCCTTTCAAAGTTTAGAGAGATAATAAAGATACGAGTGATCATAGCTTTCACACACAAAGAAGAGACACAGAGAAATGTCAGGACAAAGCTTAGTACCCAATGACACCACACCGTACTCAGTATTAGATAATAGAAATGATAAGTAGCAAACGCTTTTCCTTTTCTATATGCCATAACCCTCGAGTCCTGCAAAGGACAGCTCAGTGTTACTTTGCATAGTGAAAACAATACTCAACTGTTCCCATATTAGCCCCCAAATTAATCTCTGTGTAGTTATCAAGACCATGGGCTGCTGTTTTTCCTTTCATCATTAAATTGGTGCAGATATGTTATGACCTGGGGAACAGGTATTTGTAATTTTTGCAAAAGAGGATGTAGTTTTCTCCACCCTGCATCGCATCCCCAACACTTGCTGCAGTTTTAGTTTGTAATTATGTACTGAGTAGCCCTAGAATGAAATCAAATTGCTCACCAATTTCAAGTGGCATGTATTCTGTAAAAGAGTTGAAGGCCTAAAGTTAAGACATTTTACTTACACTTTTATGTCAAGAGCTGAGTGCTTCCCATGTCGATTCCCATTGTTCAGAAATAAATTCAAGTTAAGGAGTTGAATGAGAGCAGATAATTAATTAATAGCTTTCTTGTTAATACCACTTGTACTAAAAATATTGCTGGAGACCCACTAAACAGTCTATATATAGCAGAGATATTATGGTTGACAATATTCAAGATAATGTTGAAAAGTACACTTTGTGAAAATATACTACATGAGAAGTGAAGAAGAATAGAAAACTGAATGGTTTTTAAATTACTAGATATATAAAAATGAAAATGGTCCACTTTTAGTTTTATATATAACTTTATAAAACATCAATAAATAAAATTATTTCTTGAAAATTTGCATGCCATTTTATTTTATTAGTACCTTTTAAGTTTATTCCATGGGCAGCTACACGTCTTTTCTTTTTTTTTTCTTTTCTTTTTTCTGGCATATGATGTTGCTCCTGCCAAAGCAATTTAGTTTGGGAATTACTTCTGAACTTCTTGCCTACACTGCACTGCAATGCCCAGTCACAGAGTACAGAAAATGGCAGTCAACTTTCAAGTTGCACTTTTTAAATTCTGCTTCCTGAGAATACCCATAGATGATTTTTTTTTCTAGAATCTAGTAGGGTCAGAGACTTTGATAGTAGAATCATGATTACAGGCTTGATTCTGTTCTATCTCCCAAACCCTTCAGAATGGTATAGGCGAGCTTGCTAAAGAGAAGCCAAAGCTGAGATGCTCATTTTTCTATATGGCAGTAGCTTCATCACCATAAAGAGAAACAAAACTTCGTTAGTTGAAACTTGGAAAAATAGAAATACATATGATGCTTCTTAACAGAAAGAGAAGGGGAAGTGCTATGGAAATGCTTTGTCTATTGCTTGGTGACAGATCACCTTTCTCTTCAACAGCTCTGTTCAACCTCATCCCTGTGGGACTGCGTGTCGTTGCCATCCAGGGAGTGAAGACAGGGTTGTACATAGCCATGAATGGAGAAGGTTACCTCTACCCATCAGTAAGTGACATGCCAATGACAATTGGCCCTCAGTGTGTTGTTAGTAAAGTAGGAAAAAACAGTAATAGGAGCCAAAGATGTGTGTGCATGGACTCTGCCATGCTGACTTTGGAACTTGGTCATTATAGGGCTGTTGCAGGAGCTGCTTATTAATTATTCATCGGTGTTTGGTGACAGGAGCACATCTGAAGGAACAGTAATCTTCATCTTAAAATGTGTTTGCCACATTTTAAAAGATGACCTAGTTCATAGAAAGAATCAAAAAATTTCTCTTTAGTATGATCTTTTTATTTCTGTTTATAAATGCACTTGGTTTGGAGACTTTCAAAGAAGTGCCATTGGCACACATTTTCTCTTACTAATTTATTTTTAGTCAGTTTAATAACTGAATGTTTACCTGGGTCAATATGCTGTGTCAATCTTTTTTTACCTGGAGACTCAGTCAAGGTTATTAATATGCCTGTCACCTTACCAGCATAGTTTTTTTTATTTAAAATGTTTAAATGTGTTTTCAATTTTGGAATATACAAAATATTAACTGTACTCATCATACATGCGGTGACCACTAGGACTTACTTCTATTTGATCAGTGTCTCCTCTTTTCCCATCACTCTGTTGGAAAACAGTGGCGTGGTTTCTGTTTCAATGAGATTTTTTTTTCATTTCCAAATATGGTATATAATCACTTTACACTTTACACTTGGAATCCAAAGCTTGTGTTTCTTAAAAGGAAACAATATGAGTTTTGAAAGAGAAAGAAGCACAGTCACCGCTCAGTCTCTGTAGGCAGTGCTTCCAAGATCCTCTGTGGATAGATACTACAATCTGGGAACACAAAATCATCTTTATGAAATGGTGCAACATTTGTGTGTTGACTACATTTCCTCATGTATACCGTATCTACATTTTTGATGATATTTATATGATATGAATAATAAAGAGATGGCTGCTTTATATATTGCTTAGGGAATAATCACATGAAAAAGATATATATATATATATATATATATAATGTTCAGCACAGACACAAGTTTTTATAATGTTTTGATTGGCTCGTTTGAAGGTATAAATACTAAACCAGTGGCTAAAGAAGGACAACCATATTTATTTTAATAGGAATTCCAATAATGAAAATATTTTAGTAGAAAAATATTTCTAATATTGAAGTGTGTATCTCACACAAATCTAAGCACAATTTTCTAGTTTTTTTGTTAATATTTACTAGAAACTGACAAGTTTTTCTACTGTGTAGCCTCCACTGAATTTTTTTTTTCATTAACTTAGTTTCCACCACGTATGCTGTGCTTATGCACTATAATACAGCTAGAATCTCTTCCTATTGATGGCTGGAGAAATACATATTTGATCACAGGTGTTTTCTTCCACTATTCCTTTAGCATAAATCAATAGATTAAAATGTAAATACCGTAAAATACATTCTCCTTTGAGTTTGCATTCCATTTTCATGTAAATTCTTAGAATGTTTGTCATTCATTCAATCTTACCACAAAACAACTGTGATATTCAGTTATGATATTATCTTATATTTATGTACCAATAATATATGACTTTATACACATATTATATGTAATAAACACTCTTTTCAGCCTTCCACAACAGGTAATCTATTTTTCTGGCAAATCTGGAACCTCTGTCAAAGGGAACTGCAATGTAGCACCAGAGTCTCTCTTATCTAATCTCACTCAAGGGTATTCCAAAGCACAGAACTGAGTATTATATTATGCAAATTATGTACTGCTGCAGGAGATGAATATGCAGCATGCTGTGAGCAAGATCAAGACAGAATTCCTTACAGCTTGTCTAGGAAAACATATAAAAAAGAGATCATTTCTAGAGATGACTCATTTCAGATACAACTCAATTTTACCGATTTGACATTTGTTCTGTTATTTTTGTTTATTTTTCCCCAAGTAATGTCTTTGAATAATCTAAATATCGCTAGATGTACTGCCAGCCACAGCATCTAATTCTTCCTTTCTGTTGCAAATTTTACCTCATGATTGTTCTCTCATCATAATATGCTATTATCAGACATTTGTGTTTGTTTTATCTTTTTGCTACTATGGGAGATGCTTTTAATTATTGCTTATTTTGAGTCAGATTATAGTTGTAATATATTCTCCTCTAAAGATAGATTATGTCCTCTTGGATATGAGTTTTGGTCTAGAACAAATTCTAGTATGTTTAGAGAAATATAGCAGTACAATAACCATAAAAGCAAGGCAGTTACCTCAAGTCCAACCACAAGCATCTTAAACATGGTTTCCTTGTTCAGGATTCAGAACTTATGAAGTTGCTATGGGGAACAGTATTTGTACTTCTAAGTATTGAAGGATCTTGATCCATTGTCTTCTTCAGGTTGTGTGGGTGGTTGGCTTCTAGACATCCCCTGTCATGGCTTGAGTCACTGATTTACAGATTTTGGTTTCGTTTCTTCCTGTCTTTTGGTACCATGAACCCAGGCTATGTCTGAGCTGAAACTCTCCTTAGCCTAGTTGTTGGAGGAGAGCCTTTCATCATTTCCATCTTCTGAGAAACAGACTTTGAGAGAAACTCAATGCAATTTCAAGTCTTTGCTTGTATTCCATAGTTAAAATACTTCACTGATTTCAACTAAATACAGTTTGAACATTAAATATTTTAGTGGAAATAATGTTTTTTCCATAATTACTAATTCCATAAGTCACCAAGCACCTACTAAGAGAGTGACATAGAAATGATGTTCAAATTATTTTACTTTATAATAAAACTGAAATTATAATAACTGTAGTAGTATTTGTTCACTGTGAAGTATTCCAATCATGAATTAATTTACCTTATCTTATTAGCAACCTTTAATATAATAAGCATAACTAATGTATCACAATATAATATAAATAAAATAAACACTGATATTCAAACTGCATAAAAGTTTGCTGTAAATCCCTGTAGTAGACACAAGCAACAAAAGTCTGTGTGTAGTCTGATTCACTTCTGTACACTCTAGATAGTTCACGATCCTGTCTCCATTTCAGATATTTTTTTATTATATGGCCTGGCATCTGTTGCAACAAGAACCTAAAAATGCATGATGATGCAACTAAAACCTTGGGAAGAAAAATATTTCATTTGAGACACTCAGTAGGAAAAACTTGAGGAGCTGACAAGTTGGCTCAGTGGTTAAGACTGACTGCTCTTCCAGAGGACCTAGCTCAGTTATTATAACATACTTTATTTGGCTCATGATCACCTCTAACTCTAGCTCCTAGAGATATGGCCTCAGAGGCACACACACACATACACACACACACACACACACACACACACACACGCACACACACACACACACACACACACACACGCACATGCACATGCACATGGCATGCATGCTACTGCACATGCACACACAAATAATCTTATAAAAAGGAAATTTAACTTAATACCATCAATGTATTATATGAGACCTATTTTATCAAGGATCTATTTTTGTGGGGGTGTAGGTAATAAAATAGGCCATTTCAAGTGAATTATGTTCCTCGACCTTACACCGGTGGTGGTCCCTAGGCATGCATTTCTCTATTTCAGGAAAACTCTTGCCATCCCTTGTTATCTAAAGATATTCAATGTGTCCAATAATGATAGTTCTACCTTGTGGGGATAAAAATGTTTCTTGACTAAGATATGAATATCCCAAGTATTGGAGGCAGTTGTTGCCTGTGGAAAATTTTCTTCCACATGACAACAGCTATTTTCATTATTATAATGATTATAGTATGTCACTTGCTATGTGTCTCAAGAGATTTAATGTCATATGAATGGTTTGCTTGGAGGTATAATACAAGCTCTCAGGTCAGAGAACAAAACCATCAAATATTTTATACAAGAATTAAACAGGTTAAAATACTGCTTAAGAAAAATGTCTGTTTAAGCTTATAAAAACTACCTACTGTACTAAGAGAAACAATTAGGTGTTTTGTTTTGCTTTAACAAACAACTTACTCTTGAAAGACTAAGCAATCTCCTGTGGGGTTGGAGAGATGGCTCAGCAGTTAAAAGCACTTACTGCTTTTGAAGAGGACCTGGGTTTTATTCCAAGGACACACATGGAGTTCATAAGCATCTGTGACTACAGTTCCAGGACTTCTGACGCCCTTTTCTGGGCCCTGTGGGCACTACATACATGTCCTTAAATAGTACATCTGTATCATCCTGCTCTCTATCCAAGGCTCAGGGAACATTGTGGAAGAAGTAATATCAAAAATGTAAGAGTGAAAGGATAGGGAGAAGTGAGATCTACGGCCCATCAACATTTCATTATAGATGGAGCAGGGACTTATGGGGCCCCATCCCTAACTGGGAATTATTGGTGGTTAGTGACTGATGGAGGAGAGAGACTAATTTTATTCAGTAGTGTGTACACTGATAATACACAGGCTCATACAGGTAGCCCTAATGAAAATCAGTGGGTTTTTTCACATAAAAATATGAAAGTAGTAGGGGAAGACCACTTGGGAAGAAGTGGGTCTTCCAGAGTTGGGGGTATGTAAAAGATAGTGATGTAGGTGAATATAATCATAACACATTATATACATTTATGAAATTGTCAAATAATAAATTTCCCAATAGAAGCATGCGAAGATAGAACTGTTATATGATGGATAGTGTTTCTTTTCCTTTTATTTATACTCATGTGACAAAGATTTAGAAATGAAATCAATAGCCTTATAATGGTAAAGAAAGAAAGTAGATAGAACCTTAATAAACCATCTTACTTATTAATAAGGCTTCTGTTGGTGCCAGGGGTTGGGGGAGGTGGTGTATCCTTGCTAGAGAAAGTAGAGTGTATCACTGCAGGTGGGCTTTGAGAACTTATAGCATTGATCCACTTCCAACTTGCTTGCTCTCTGCTTCCTGCTTGTGGTTAAGGATGTGATCTCTCAGCATCCTGCTCCAGTTGCCATACTGTCATTTCCTGCCATACTTTCCTGCCCTGTAGAATC